CAAGAGGCATTAAATGGACACTCTTCTCATCCCTTGAAGACCGGGACTTTGCAGATGATGTTGCTCTCCTATCACATACCCAACACCATATACAAGAAAAAACAACTCGACTCAACGCATTCGGACAGCAAATTGGACTGAAAATCAATCGCAATAAGACAGATATCATGACCTTTAATATTGCCTCATCATCACCAGTACGGATAGAGGATTATGTTCTCACCAATGTAGAAATATTCGCATACTTGGGCAGCACCATCAGCCAGGCTGTTGGAACAAGCCAGGATATCCGGAACAAAATCAATAAAGCCAGGAACACCTTCAGGAGCTTAAATACAGTCTGAAAATCATCAAAATACAACACCAAAACTAAACTCAAGATTTATCACTGCTGCGTACTTTCAACGCTACTTTATAGTGCAGAATGCTAGGGAATGAGAAAGTATGACATGTCCAAGCTATCTTCATTCCATACAACTTGCCTCAGAAAAATCCTCCGTATCTTTTGGCCCAGAACAATCTCAAACCAAGATCTATTGACACAGTGGAGGATCTGAGCACCATCATTGCCAGGAGGGGCTGGAGATGGATCGGTCATGTGCTTCGGATGGAAACTGATTCCACCACCAGAGTAGCAATAAGATGGACACCTGAAGGCAAGCGAAAACAAGGCCGCCCGAAAACAATATGGCGAAGAGCTGTGGAAGTCGAGCTGAAAAACCTGGGGTACAGCTGGGGAACCACTGAAAGACTTGCCAGAAACAGACAGGAGTGGAGGAGCTTCGTCACTGCCCTAAACACCAGAGGAGTAATACGAACATGATGATGATGATCAAACTGTGGGTCAGGACCCCAAAGTGGGTCGTGACACCGTTTTAATGGGGTCGCCAGGGCTGGTGATAGACTTGCTGGGGCCAGGGGCTGAAGCCAAAGCCCAAGCCTCACCGCCCGGGGAAGAAGCTGAAGCCTGAACCCCACTGCCCGTGGACAAAGCCAAAGCTTCAGCACTGGGCGGCAGTTACAGCTCAGGTTACAGGCTCCCTGCCTGGAGCTGAAGCCCTTAGGCTTCGGCTATGGCCCCTCCGGCCAGGGTGGTAGGGTTCAAGTTTTAGTTCCCCACCACACACACACACACACCTGGGGGGGAGGGGGGGAGAGCTCAGGCTTCAGTTCCCCCTCCTAGGGTCATGTAGTAATTTTTGTTGTCAGAAGCGGTCGCAGTGCAATGAAGTTTGAGAACCACTACGCTAGAGCCTGTTGAACAGACTGGAGGTAGGATAGGTAAGTAGGGAGAATATAAAGGAGATGGCTATAAGGATGTTGGCAGTGAGGATGGAGGCCAAAGGGAAGTTGCTAGCAATGGTAAGCAACTGTATTTAACAAGAGTTTGGACATCAGGAGAGAAGAGTGGAAGATGGCACACAAGACTGTGAACCTGCGCCACAAGGTGGACAGTGCAGCTGCCAAATGGGACAGAGATAAGAGGGGGAGGAACAGGAGGGAGCACAGCCGGAAAGATGAGAGGTTCCATTTCTGACACATTGATTTTGTGGACTGTTGTTCCATAGCTTTGTACAACTACAACCCCCCAAAACAACGTCTGTTGTTGGAGTACAATAGATAGCAAAGGAGAGCATGGTGATATAGGGTGGGCCTTATGGAGTTGACGCCAAACAACAGGGAACACATTTTAATTGTCTCTGTGGTTCCTTTGCCCCAGTCACTTAACCAACTGACAATTTCAAACGAGTTTCCCTTCCCTGCCCCTTTGGTGGAAGCAACTCCCCTTCTGGAACAATGATTATTTATTCTTCATTTTTACTGGCCCCCGCAACCGTCAGTCGAACAGCGTGGGCAGGATTCCCTGAACAGAGTATGCCAGCAACACATCTACAACACTGGAGTACTGTGTGCCAAGTTGTAATTACACAGCCTTGCTATGTGGCCTTAGATGAGCCATGGTGGCCAAGTAATTACACACAGGGAAATGTGCCTTTTACATTAACCCTTGAGGGCTACGAGTCAAGGCTTGTTCACAATGTAATCAGCTAATAAAGAGCAAATTACACATTGATGTCAGAGATTTAGACTCTTGATTCCAAGTTGTAAAGGTCCAAACTACAGATGTTAACACTGTCTGCCTTCCCCTCTTCCCCCAGCCCCCGGCCACATCTTTCATTTTAAATGAGATTTCATTCTATCAGAGCACAAAATGGGACACTATCACTAAACCTCACCAAAGTGTCCAGGGCAAACTCCCATTTTCATTCCATTGTTACTTTACGTTTATTTACACAGTGTCCTTAATATAAAAGCAATAGCAAAAGGTGATCGCTGATTTTAAGCGCTTAAAGAGTTCTCCCAGGATTATAACTTTATACAACTGTGGAGGCAGGGGGCAGTTCGACCAGGCACCTACAAAAGTGCCACGGAGTCTTTGATGTCTATGTAGTTATTTATATTGCACTCACCGTCATGACTGTCTGAACACTGAGTAATAATACCTACCTCCTACGTAGCACTCTTCATTGGTAGGTCTCACAGTGCTTTACAAAGGTCACAATCATTATCCCCATTTTACAGATGAGGCACAGAGACATGAGGTGACTTGCCCAAGGTCTCCAAGCAAACCAGTGACAGAGCTGAGACTAGAACCTAGGTCTCCCAGCTCTATCCACTAGGCCACACCACCTCCCATAGTGTTAACATCCACAATGTCTACCAGACAGAACTTCGTTTTTACATTTTCATCCAACAGAGCCAGACATGGAAAACTACCTAGTGAAGAAGAATTAAGGGTGATGGAATCTGGGCTTGCAGTTCTATCACAAACACAGAGCCTGATCCTGCAAAGAGAGCCACACAAACCCTTCCCGTGGTGCAGAATACTCAGTGCTCCACTTCAAGGACACCATTTGCTATGGGGTGAGAAAGCAGCCCCCACCACTTCGTTTTCCACTCCCCCCACATTTTTCATAGGTCTGTATTAGTGGTGGGCAACCTGCGGCCCACAAGCGGCCCGTCAGGGTTTACATAACCATCAGCAGGCACGGCCGCCCATAGGTCCCATTGGCCATGAACGGCGAACCGCGCCCACTGGGAGCTCCGGGCGGCCATGCCTGCAGATGGTTAATGTAAACACTGTCTCGCAGCCCGCCAGTGGATTACCCTGATGGGCCGCAGATTGCCCACCACTGGTCTATATGCACCACTTCTTCTCCCCCCACCCCGAACTTTGCAGACTAGATAATCAGATATAAGGTTCTATATGCTATACAACTTTGACCCCCACAGAATTTTTCTGAAATGACATTGCTGCTCTACTTGGTCACAAGGGGCCTGTACATGTGGAACTGTTTGCAGGATCGGGCCCCTGAACAGTTTCAGGTCTTTGCAGTTTATGCAATACCAATTAAAGATGTTTTCATTTTGTGCTCATGTTGCAACTCCAAACAGATTGGAATTTTTAAAGGGAACTCCCAGCTAGCCTAATATAGTTCTCAGTTTCACTATACTGACCCGTTTCAGAGTAGCAGCCGTGTTAGTCTGTATTCGCAAAAAGAAAAGGAGGACTTGTGGCACCTTAGAGACTAACCAATTTATTTGAGCATAAGCTTTTGTGAGCTACAGCTCCCTTCATCGGATGCATAAAGTAGAAAATACAGTGAGGAGATTTATATACACACAGATCATGAAAAAATGGGTGTTTATCATACACATTGTAAGGAGAGTGATCACTTAAGATGAGCTATTACCAGCAGGAGAGTGGGGTGGGGGGGAATACTGACCCTACCCCATGTTTGGGGAGGAGGGGGGAGCGGATGTTCAAATGAATACTACCACTAAGGACTGTACCACAGTAGCTCTCACACCACCCGCAGGGCTGCTTGGGTTAACTATAAATACATTATACTACACTATGTCCATGTCCAATACCAGAATGCCATTGCACTACTCCTCTCCCTCCCCCCCTTCCTGCTGACTGACAGGGACCTGCTGAACGCAACAGAGTGCGGTGCGGGATAAAACACTGAATGGAGCCTCAGGAATAATATTAGCACCCCCAGGATTCAAGCGCAGGGCAAATCCCACCAGTTAAGTGGTCCTCAACCTTTCCAGATTACAGTACCCCTTTCAGGAGTCTGATTTGTGTTGTGTACCCCCAAGTTGCAACTCACTTAAAAACTACTTGCTTACGAAATCAGACATAAAATAACAAAAAGTGTCACAGTACTCTGAAAAACGGCTTACTGTCTTATTTTTACCATATAATTATCAAATAATTCAACTGGAAAATAAATATTGAACTTACATTGCAGTGTAAAGCGCACAGAGCAGTACAAACAAGTCACCCTCTGAATGAAATTTTAGTTTGTAGCGACTTCGCTAGTGCTTTTTATGTAGCCTGTTGTAAAACTAGGCAACTCTCTAGCTGAGTCGATGTACCCCCTGGAAGACCTCTGAGTACCCCTGGCTGAGAACCACTGCACCAGCTGGTTCCAGGGAAACGCCAGGGGCAGGAAAGAGTTAAGCTCTGCTGCCACCCAACTTGGTGGCTTCTCCTCTCACGTTGAGCGCGACTCACTCATTTCCCCAAGCCCTGCAGTGGTGCTGGAACAATTTGTATGGGGGGGGGGGCGGAAGGCGGAAACCATGTATTTGGGTTGTTATTCCTACTTCAAGCCAGGGGGTGCAGCACTCCCCCTCCCTCCCAGCACTCATAAAGCGCGGCTCCCTACGCTGCCCAGAAAAAGTTTCTCCAGCAGAAGGGGGGGGACACAACGTGCCAGTCTCTCCTCTCCACTTGTCAGCACGCGGATCCTGCCTGCCGTGGCCTGGCCACAGGGCTGGGACCTGGAGGGCTCGCGGCCCCAAGGCGTTCAGCAGCAGCAGCGGCGAATGCGAAAGTGACATGCAGAAGAGCAGAGCTCTGCCCAACTCCAGGGTACCCCGCCGTGCTTGCGTTCCCCCTTCCCCACAGCCCGAAAGGGGTCACTTACCCAGCAGGGGCATGGGTGGCGGGGGGCTGCTTGGGACGAGCCTCTGCAGGAGGAATCCGGGAGCAGCCAGCTGCTGCAGTGGCGCCTGCAGGGTTTGAAGGGCGTTTGCGGAGGCCCCTCCTTCACGGGCTCCCTCCCCTCCTCTGTCCTGTCCCCGACCGGCCTGACACCGCCCGCCCCCGCCACATGCAAGCCAGGGAGGCGAGAGCAATGGCGAGCGGTGCCCTGCCCAGCAGCGCCGATGCCCGGGCTGGGTGGCGGCAGCCGCCGGCTGCTACTCTGGATCTTCTCCAGCTGTGTTGCAAACATTCCTCCCGGCCCGCGTGTCCCCCGCCCACTCCAGGGGACGCCGCGGCAGCCAGCAGCTCAGCCCATCAGTCAGCACCCCCTCCCCGTGCCACGCTTGTAACCCGGGGGGCACGGAGCCGCGCAGACAGCGGCAGCCCGTTATGTAACCTCATCAGGGGGCTTATGCAACGGACAAGCTCTGTGCGGTGCACAGGCGTTCAGCGCTAGCCTCCGGAGCGGCTGGCACAGAGCGAGGGAGCAGCTTTCAACTGTGTCACACTCACATCAGAAAGCCAGCTCCCGCTTTCAGCATTGCCTTGGCACTTTCGGGTGAGGAACAGCAAAATCCGTTTGTCGGGTAAGCATGGCTTCTCTGCCTCGTCCCTGCCCATCTCCTCCTCCTCAATCCCGCAGCGTGTGTGTGATCACCCCCCCCCCCCCCCAGCTCCTTTCCAACGCAACAGATTGCTATGTCATACACACGCAGGGTTATGACTTCATCCTGGGAACAAGCAGAAGGAGAAGCTGAGTTAAGAGGGAGAAAGATTTTATTCCAGCTAGAGTCTCCTCTGCAATGGGCAGGGCATTACAGGGTGAAGTAAATGAGGTTTGTGGTAACCTACTTCCAAACATCATAAGGCCCTACACACAGCAGGTAGGTTGTCTGACTCTGAAGGGCCTTGCCTTTCAAACTCAGTTATTTTAATCCAGCGTTGTGCACATCCAAGAGCTGTGTATTACTTTAAAAGCGGCATAAGTGTTGGAACCATGCACTTAACAGAGCAGGCTGTTTTCTCTTTATACCTTTTTCATACACCGCTTTTGAGAAAGACATGGTGACCTTACAAAGCAATTACAGACGCATCGAGGACTACACACACTACTGTCACAAGGGTAATCAATTCCATCTCAAAAATAAGAACAGCACCTTCTATTTTAATATCCATGATTATTGTTTGTTACAGTAGCACCTCCTTGCTCAAACCAAGAATTGGACTTGATTGTGCTAGGTGCTGTACAAACACAGTAGCAGATGGTCCCTGCCCCACAGAGTTTATAACCTAAATAGACAAGACAGCCAAAAGGAGATAGCATCCTCATTATGCTAATGGAAATTGAGGCAGAGTTAAATCTCCAGTCTTACAAAGAGTTATATGCTAAACTTAACCAGTATGGTCAACATCAAAAATTCAAAAAGCATTACTCTTGTCTCCATAAAGTCACAAGTCTGGCTTAATATATGTTTCAATTCCCTTCTGATTTTTTAACCTTGACACTGTGCATTTTTGTGTTTTTCTCTGCAACCATGAGGGCTAGAAACTTACTTTATAAAAAGGCAAGAGTCTCATATAATCACATGACTTCAGGAACAGGGGCTTTATGGAAGTCACCAAATATTATGAGACTAGTGATAAAATCATGAAAGTTGGCAATGCTGCTTTATACTTGGGACTAGCCCCATTGAGACTACACAAGCAATCTGCAGCAGACCTGGAAATTGGACTCAGGCTCTCAGCCCCAGACCAGTTCCTTAACCACAAGGCTATCTTTCCTCTTGAATTACTGCCCATAAAATAGGCTAATAGTTTCAAACTTAATCATATAAACCAATAGGAAAAACAATTCCAGTTTGTCACAAAAAACAGTATCAATAAAACAATTCACTTTAAAATATTTATAAAACAACCAAAGCTCATTCAAGTAAGAACTAAGAAACTGAAAAACATAGACTGTTGTGATGGTCACTTCCATTCTCAATCAAGTTACCATATGCATTTGATCAAGATAGATTATTTACCCTGCAAACAAATCTATTATGCTTCTGCCCATATTATATATATATTTATATAAAAACAGAAAGACCAAAGTGTTTTGATTTTCCAACAGTATGGTAGTCTTTGTTTACATAACCAAATAAAGGAGCCAAGGCAGCAACAAACCACACTGTATCAAGCAATTCCCGTTCTGTGGCAGGGTAACGCTTTTCTGTATCCTCATAACATAATTGAAACAAAAATCAAATGAATACATAGAACTTTGCAGTACAATTATTCATAAGGTTTAAGTGAGGGTGCATTCCTAAAAGAAACATTGGGGCAAATCTAAACAGATGAGGGTTTTGTTTGTTTGTTTGTTTTGGTTTAATGTTAGATCTAAACTTTCCATTGCTGGAACACATCCACTACAACATTTCTACAATCCATTAAAAAAGTATAGCCAAAGTGACTGCATTGATCCCTGAACTTGCTTTTAGGTGTGCTGGATTTAATAAAAAAGTATATTTTGCATGTAGCTTATACACTATTATCTACATCTATAACTAAATAAAACATACTGGCTAGCAGGGATGTGTATCACTGGTTGCTGCTACACAGGATCAGAATTGCTCAACTTCACATCACAGGCCCTGAAAGGTATTTAGACAACTAATCCTCATGGATTTCAATGGGAATTAGGCACCTAAATACCTCTGAGATTCTGGGCCCACAAACCTCTGGACTAGTTCACTGGCCCTTGGCAGTAAAGTTCCAGCACACTGCTAAAGGCTCCCCCGCCCCTCCTCGCCGGAACTTCTGCCATTGTTTTGGAAACCTCCCTCCCCACCTGGGAGTGACAGGGTTAACTTACTAGCTAGTGTGCCAAGGGGCTGAAAGGAATATGGCAGCATACAGCGTGGCCAGGCTTCCCAGGCCATCTTCTACAAAATACTAGAGGCCAAAGTCCACATAGCACTTACAGAGGAGCTTCCACAGGCCTGGGTGAAGGGGGTACAGTGGTGCAGACGTGACAGTGCTTGTTCCATATCCATGGATCCATCTGATTTTCTTCCCTGTAGCCTGTGCAAACGGATACACCCTGAAGCATTATGGGCTCCGTGTGTGTGTGAAGATTGATTAATCATATTTTATTCTGTATCTACATCTACACTAGAAACGTTGATTCAGTCACCATTATGAGCAAAGGGGCCACCCTAATGGAGGCACTGACTCATTTGCTAAAAGTCCTGCAGATAAGAAATGAAGTTACACCCGCTGATCTGTTAAGGCAGAAAAAGATGGTCTAATGCGTTCAGAAAGATTTCCTTTGCCATTTGAACCGCCCCAAATGGTCAGTGTTCAGAGATACACTTTGAAGGTTGTGTTGTCTTTACCATTAAATCAAAATGTTGATTGCATTGAACTTCTAACATTTTCCAATGTTGATACCAGATTTTGAATTATTAACCAAGTTACACATCTGATTGGCTCTTGCCATTGACGACAGTTTGTGATATGCTTAAGTATAAAAGTCATTATCATTGTACAGACAACCAACATGAAAATGAGTCCTCATGCTTATAAAAGCGGTCTGCTATGCAAACAATGGAAGGCTGACCTCAGCAGGCTATCACTTCACACCTAAAAAAGTAAGGAGGGATTAAATGATTAAGGATGAAGTACAGGGGTGGAGAGCCTGTCAAAAAAAGCTGAACAGCAGCTCTCTTTCTAAATATATATTTTTTCTCTCCCCAAAATAAAAGTCTTCTCTCACTGGCAGACATTTGTGGTTTGATTTAATGTGCAGCAGTTTCACACATTTCCTGTGACAGGCAGAATGCCTAAGAGACTGGGTGGAAAGCAACAAACAGTTGCTGGCAAGCAATAGTAACATTTACATTGGCACGATTTGATCTTTAGGCGGAACCTGTGCAGCATCTTTACAACAATGCGGAGGCATTTGTACCACAAGGTAACTGGGCTCTTCTCTTTTTAGTGCAATACACCCATTTGCACATTCTTGTGGTTGATGACAAGTAGACATTATACAGAATCTATGAAATTCTGATGTTTCCCTTTTATGTTGTTTGTGGACAGGGATGTACCCAAACCAGAGAGAACTGCAATCCTTACATTCCTGAAAACTATTATTCAAATGTTAATGAGTCACTTGGCAGACCTGAAAAAGCGATGTAAGATGTGAGAAGCAGGCCATTTGTGTGGTGTACCAATGATACATGTCTTTGGAATGATAAAAACTGTAACATCAGGGCTTTTCCTGGCATAGTGTAGATTTTAAAGAATGTTAATATTAAATCAGTCTGTTCTTTGATGCCGCACATGGCTGTACAGTGGACATTCAGAGGATGTCACTAGAAGAGGTTAAAGAAAACTTCTTTCTCTACTGGGAAGGGAACAAAAAGCGGTCTAAAATCCAAACACAATGGGTCAAATCCTCTGAGGCACTGCTCACATACCTTGCGCACTCAAATATTACACTCACTAAAACGAGTTTTGTTGCTGCAAGGAATATAAGTAAGTTTGGACCTTTTGTCTGAGCAATCTTGGTAGTGCCACTTAACAGATGATACCCAAATCAGGTACAAAGGATATCTGTTAAATGCTTTTCTCCTGGCTGTCACGGATGTCCAAAGAAGCAGCAAGTCCCTATAGCATCCTTACGTGTGAAGAAAGTCTAGCACATACCAGAAGAGAACACAGTGGACAAGATCCTCAGCTGATGTAAATCAATGCAATTCTATTGAAGTCAATAGAGCTATGCCAATTGACACCAGCCGCAATCTAACTCAATTACACTTACACAGTTATGGGCAAAACAGTTTTATTACAACATATGGTCTGCACGCTAAGATTCTTCCCATGAATATAACATTTACTTCAGTCTGGCAGTATTTTTGAGCGTACACACTGTGTAGCAACAATCTGTATCCATATTTTGGAGATATTTGAATCTTTCAGGACACTGAAAATATTCATAAAAATAGTGGTCACACCCTTGATCAAGTTCCTCCTGCTGGACACTCACCATTGTTGAGTTTTGATCCACACTGCTCATGCATGTGCTTTTATGCTCCCCATTGTCTGGGCAGGCTTTAGTCAAGGTCTCTGGGTTCAGCCCCTCTGACACACTTCCTGGGCACAGAATCTGTCTGATATCCCTCTTCTGGAAGGCCCAGAAATGCTGAGTCCCTAAGACACCACGATAGCTGAAGCACCCTCTTATGGCACTCTGGTTTATAATTTACCTGATAGTTGTAGCAAATAGACACAGATTTTGCAGGAGGATACCTAAAACAATCACACTTTACTTTAGGCAGCACAATATATATATAAAAAGAAAAGGAGTACTTGTGGCACCTTAGAGACTAACCAATTTATTTGAGCATAAGCTTTCGTGAGCTACAGCTCACTTCATCGGATGCATCCGATGAAGTGAGCTGTAGCTCACAAAAGCTTATGCTCAAATAAATTGGTTAGTCTCTAAGGTGCCACAAATACTCCTTTTCTTTTTGCGAATACAGACTAACACGGCTGTTACTCTGAAACCGGAATATATATATAGATTCATAGAAAATAAGTA